TAGACTATGTTCTTTGAAAGATATGGGACTGAATTCGACCTGTGCCCTACTTTTTCTTGGACCGCAAGTGTAGTCTCTTAGCTTGAGTTTCTTCCTTTGGAATATGAGAACATAGTTTTTATGACCCAGAGATTTCTGTAAGGATTGAATAACTAATGCATACATACTGTCATCAATAAATATTATTGGTCCCTGAGTTTGGCAGGCACAAAAACTAAGCTATGTCACCAGCAACTTATCTCACTAAGATAAAAGACACCAGAAGATAATAAAAAGGTTATGCTGGAAGTCAACAAGATACTACCTTCAAAATTTCAGGTGAAAAAACTTCAGCTTAGGAGTTTTCTATTCTTATACTCTGTCATTTAAAAATGAAAGTAAAATCAAGATCTTTCAAGGGTAAAAAGACTGTGACCTACTCACTTTGGCAAGAAACACACTCAGTAGAAACCACCAGAATGAAGAAGCAAAGAAAGTGGGATTTTTATGGGCTCACTGAAACAAGAATTATTTGCAGGAAAGAGTAGTAGGGAGCCCTTTGATTGTGATGAAGGGGGATAGCAATGTTGACTAATTTTAGAATTAAACTAAGCATATAAACTTAAAAATATATAAGAGTATAGGATTCTGCAAGATGGTGGAGTAGAAAGCATCAGAATACTTCCACCCTCTCACACAAAAATTATACTGGCAGAATCTGTTGGATGTAACTATTTTGAAACTCCAAAGTCTACTGAGGACTTGAAACTTTCAGGGGAAGGGTTGGATTGTAAAGTGCAGTTAAATTTAGTCAATTTCTGACTAGATCACCATCAGCTCTTCATTTCCTGTTCTCCTCACCCACAATATGCAGCTATGAGCATTTTCCTGGAAGCCTGGATGACACAATTAAGACCCTGTCCTCCCAGCACTGGGTCAGCGTCCTGATCTCTGGTGCTGCTCCTAGGAACAGTGCAGACCAGGGGGCAGGCAGTCACTGCTGCACCGCCTTCTTGCTGAAGGGACTCCGGGGGATATAAATAGCCAGTACCTCCTCCTTCTACCTACTTTTCTGTGCCCCTTTTGGGAGACAGACATTAAAGACTAATATAACCAGCAGTGACAGCCCATGGGGGAAAGGATGAAGTAACTGCACAGGTGCAGGAGTAAGTTCCAATTAGACTGGTATAGCTTTAAGATGTTAGAGGCAACCCCTACTAAGAAAAAGCTATAGAATGTTAAAGAAAGGAAATGGGAAGGGAATTTAAAAGTTTCACTACAGAAAAAAAAGAAAACTTGGCCCTCCCTGGTGGCGCAGCGGGTTAAAACACTGCACTAAGAAGCTTAAGCCACTTCCGCATGAGTTCAATCCCCGCCTGCCCAGGAGGAGATCCACATGGCGCGGCAGACCTCTCCTGACCCGCCCGCTGCTCCCCTCAGCAGTGTACTTCATCGATCTGCCTGTTCTGCTCCCCACTCTGTCTGGTGAATCCTCTCACCCTCCACATCTCTGGCCTGTACCCCAGTTCTGTACGAATAAATAAATAAATCTTTAAAAAAAAAAAAAGAATACTAAATACAAGAGGAGACAGTAATGCAGGTAAGGAGGGAAAAAAGAGCAATGAGGTATATAAAAACAAATAGCAAAATGACGTTAAATCCAATTCTTCTCATTATAAATTTAAATTCAAGTGAATTAAACTCTTCAATAAAAAAAAAAAGAAGCTGATGCAAACAACTTTAAGTTGCCCACTTTTTATCCAAAGACATAAACAGGTTGAATATGAAAGGATGGAAAAAGGCATTCCATGCAAATGGCAACCAATAAGACATCCTCAAAATATATAAACATATTGATAGAAATGAAGGTTGGAAATATAGTTCTACAGTAACTGTTGAGACTTCACCATCCATTCTCAATAACAGATAAAACAACCTGACACAACACAACACAATAGAGTCAATGGACATACACAGAACATTCTGTAATTAGACAGGAAAAGGAAATAAAAGGCATCCAAAGATGAAAGAAAGAAGTAACATTACCTCTGTTTACAGATGATATGATCTTACATGTAGGTGAGTCTTCTCTTGAAAATTTGGCATTTGGGATTCACCCAAATGGAGTTGACACTTACGCTGGGGCTACAGCCATACATCAGTGATGTGCAAATAAAAGTGCAAAATGAGACAAGGGGGAAAAGGGGAGGGGAAGCTAACAGGAAGATTGACAGTGGACAGACATAAGGTATGGCCTAACATTTCTCTAGTTCCTTGTCCCAGACTGGCTCATTTGTAAATTCTACCAAACATTTAAGGAAGAAATAATATCAATTTCCACCTATCTACTCCTGAAAACAGAAGCAGAGGGAATACTTCTTACTAATTGTAGGAGGTCAATACTGTCCTAACATCAAACAAGATAAAAGCAGAACAATACAACCTACACAACAGTAAGGTCATATAAACATACATATGGAAAAATAAACTTAGCAAGTTAAATTCAACAAAATATTAAAAACAATTATGCACCATGAACACATAGGATTTACTTCAGGCACGCAAAATGGCTCAACATTCAAAAAAATCAATCGATCACACCAACAAGCCAAAGAAGAGAAATCATATGATTGCATCAATAATTGCAGAAAAAGTATTTGACAAAATCCAAACTGATTTGTGAAAATGCTCAAGAAACTAGGAATGGAAACGAACTACCATACCTATTGGTGAGAAACTAGATGTTTTTTCACTAAGACCAGAAACAAGGCAAAGATACTCCCTGTCACCATTCTTAGTCAACACTGTCCTGGGAGTCCTCGCTAACACAGTTAAGACAAGAAAAGGAAATAAAAGATACAGAGATTGAGGAGACAAAATAAAACTGGTCTTTTGCATAGATATGATTTATATATATAAAATCTCAAAGAATCAATAACAACAACAACAAAAAAACTCCTAGAACTAAGTGATTATAACCAGGTTGCAAAATATGAGATTAATATACCTAAGTTAACTGCTTTCTTATGTACTAACAAAGAACAAATGGAACTTGAAATTAAAGCACAATAACACATCAGCATCAAAAAAAAACGAAGTATCTGTGTATAAACCTATCAAAAACTGCACATATTCTATACATGAGAAGCAACAAACTCTGATTTTAAAAAATGATGAAGATCTAAATAAATGAAGGGATAGTCCATGTTCATTAGTTGGGAGATTCAATACTGTTAAGATGTCAATTTCCCCTAACTTAATCCAATCAAATCCTAGCAAGTCAGTTTGTAGGTATCAACAAAAATTATTCTAAAGTTTATACAGAAAGGTAAAAGACCTAGAATAGGCAACACAATAGTAAAGAACAAGAACAAGTTTGAGAACTGACATGACCAAACTTCAAAACTCACAATAAATCTACAAAGTTTGGACTATACAATAATAGTGAAAGAATGGAGGTAGACCAATAGGACAGAACAGAAAAGCCAGAAACAGAATGAGGGGGAAAGTCAACATCTTTGACAAAGGAGTGAAGGAAAGAAAGGACAATCTTTTCAACAAATTGTACTCAAACAATTAGAACAATGTCCACATATAAGAACTGCAACTGCATTCTTTCAAAATGGATCTTAAATGTAAACATAAAACTGTAAAATTTTAGAAGACAATCAGGAAATCTAGGTGAGACTGGAGATTCAGTGTGATCTTTGCCAGTGAAAGAATAACTAATAAGGTGAACTTCATGAAAATTCATTAAAACTTCATTAAAATTAAAAATCTCAGAAAGATAGAGAGATGGGGAGAATATATTTGCCAAACACAAATGATAAAGGAATTGTAACCAAAATACAAGAACTATTAAAACTCAACAAGAAAACTAACCTAATTAAAATAATCTGAATAGCCTTATAACTATTAAAGACACCTCTAAACTAACTCAGACAGTTTCACTGAAGAAATCTACTAATCATTTCTTAAAAGAATTAACACTAATTCTATACCTCCCAGAAAACAAAAGAGGAAGAAACATTTCCTAACCTATTTTCTGAGGCATACTGGTACTGCTAGTACCAAAACCACAGAAAGATAGCATGAAAAAAACTACAGTCTAAGAATACAAAGGCAAAGATCTTTAACAAAATATTAGCAAACAGAACTCAGTAATATGTAATTAAGAAATTAACATGATGGCAAGGCTTATTCCAGGAGTGTAATGATAGATTTAATACTCAATTTTTTTCTTTATTAGGCATTATAATAGGTATGTGTTATGTTTAATAAAAGAATGAAAGAGGATAAATAAAGTATCATGAACCAAAATCCCAGAAACATTTTCCAGATGCCAAGATTCAAAGTAATCTAAAATTTGATAAATACCTCAGTATTTCTCTATCAGAAGCACTCATATGGGGGTTGTTTACTATTTTAGTTTTTCCTTGCCATGGCAGGAAAGGACTAGAGGCTATTACACGGATGTCTTGTTTTTGTTTTTGGCATGCATTTTTCTAAAAATTGCAAACCAGAAAGCACTTCAAGATTTAGGTGAGAGCCAAAAATGAGGGAATTTTGCACAGAAAAAGAGTTTGAGTCCAACAGGCAGAATTCCGGGCTTTCTCGATAATGGATTTTTTTTTTTTTTAAAGATTTATTTATTTGTGCATACAGAACTGGGGTACAGGCCAGAGGCTCAGGGGCGGTGAGAGGCTTCACCAGAGACAGAGTGGGGAACAGAACAGGCAGATCTACGAAGTACACTGCTGAAGGGAGCAGCGGGCGGGCCAGGAGAGGTCTGCCACACCATGTGGTCACCTCCAGGGCAGGCAGGAATCGAACTCATTCGGAAGCGGCTTTAGATTCTCAGTGCTGTGCTTTAACCCGCTGCGCCACCAGGGAGGGCCCTCGATAATGGATTTTAAGAAGAACAGCAAGCAAGTGGTCACTATAAAAAGGTGAGGCAAAGTAAAGAGAATAAAGGAGCAGGAAGATCAAGCTGATAGAAGAATGCTTATGTCAGTTCTCACCTTTTTGTGGGCTATGAGCAGGCAATTGGAATGTTCATGTTCACAAGCAATTTCATAGTCAGGGATGAGATCCACCAACTCATGGACAAACCGCACCACTTCCTCATGCCAGGGCACGTTGGCCATGGTAAGGCTGCTTGCTGAGCTCTCGCCACAGTAGGTGACACCCTGGAGAAACATCACAACAGTGAGAGACAATTACAGACTGACTTAAATGTCACAGACTAAGAGTGTCAGAGCTAGAAAGGCTTCTAGAGGTCATCCAACCCAATTCAATGCATATTTTCAAGTGAAGAAAGTAATACAAAGATAACAAAATGCTTTAGAGCTCACAGGAATAGTTAGTGGCAAAGCACTGGAGCTCCCGGGACGAGGCCCTTTCCACGCTGGCAGTGCTGGTGCTGGGCACCTGAGCCGCCCGTCACAATCTGCACTGTCATGCACAGTAATGTATTTGAACCAATAATGCAACTTCCCATTCAGATTCACTCGTGCGCAACAATAGGTTCATTCTCCAGGGATTACAGTCCCACATTAAATAATGGAGGCATAGCTGACACCCATGAAACTTTACTGAATAATTTATTCACTGGAAAAATAAGGTGAGTATCATGTTATAAGCGTTAGAATTATAGTTGGTAAACCTTTTCTGTAAAGGCACAGAGAAATGTATTCTTCAAGGAGATCTCCTGGCAATGACGTTTACGCACACACATGCACACAGCCGCACACACACAGAGTCATGCCGAATAAATCAATCTGGGGATATACACAGATGTCTTCACACACTACTATATATGCATGCATTTAACTCACCTCCATAGAAACCCCTATTCTTTACAACTGCAGTAAAACATGCTGACTTTTAACTCTTTTGAACTCTACCTGACAGCCCAGGCATATTAAGTCCCCAAAATTTTGTTAACTAAATTCTCTATTTGGGAAATTACATAATGCTAAATGTTTAATTTCTTAACAGTAAGTGATACTTTGATTTTGTAAACTCTTCAAATATCCGAAATCAAACTTTCTTGACAAGTTGTTTGAATATTTTAGATATGCTGTTACTAAATAGTGAACAACTGTAATAAGTAGATGTATACCACAGCACACACTTCCCTCTCTCTCTCTCTCTGTTCTGGTGTCTCTCTCTCTCTCTCTTATACAACATACACACACACACACTCTCTCTCTCTCTCTCCTCTCTCTCTCTCTCTCTCTAGAGGGGTAAAATGATCTTAAATGAAAAAGCCACAAATGAGCACTGCAGTGACCCTGACCCTACAGATGGCAGAGCTGGGACTTGGCTGAGAACTCAGATGAGTTCTGCAAAACACTCCGCTCCAGATGGCTGTTCAAAAGATTCCTAGTATACTAAATTGAGATGACGTTTGCTGAACATTAACTAGAGGCAATGTCACTTCATTACAACAAATAAGAATCTTCTCTATTAGCCCAATGATTCACAGACTTCATTAAACTGAGTTTGAGTTTCAGGTAAACAAAAAGTAAGTATGACATAATTTAAAGATCTTTAAGAAAGCAAGGTTGAAAAATTATTCCAAACTTACCCAATGTTTAAAAAAATTGAAAATTAAAAAACTGAAAGTGATTTACTGATAGGTTAAGTCAGTCATTAAAATAAACTTACTTCAATTTAAATGTCAGTTATGACATGAATTATATGAACAACCGTATGTGTAAGAGTTAAGTCAAAGGAATTTATTTCTAATATTTAAAAGTTAGTTCACTGAAGCAGAAAATTTAAGATAAGATCTTATATTCATCACTAATGCTTTTGAACATATTTGGCTCTATCTTATTCAGTAATAATTACCATGAAATGATAAGGGAAGAATCTGGTTTGGCAATGTAATCAAGGAATATGTGTCACAGTTCATTACTATCTTTATACAATACTTTTCCATACATTTGCATGACGTTTTATAGTTAACAAAGCACTTTTACATAAAAGCTCTGATTTTAGCCAGCAGAATCATTTGTGGCAGGAAGGATGGGTGACTTCCTAAGCAGCTTAGAGTCTAAGCTTTCACTGTGGCAGAAATGCCATTTATTTGCGCTAAGTTTGTCTGTGAGCAACCTTCGGGCACCCCCAAGGCCTCACTCAGTTTGGCTCCTGTGCCTCATTCTCTGATGCTCTCCTTGCTATTCTGATTGCTTCGCTTCATCCAACACCCTAAACTCTTGATGGCTTGTCTTGACTTTATTCCTGGTCTTTTCAATGAGGGACAATCTCACAGGAGTGAGGTGGTCTAGTTTCATTGTGTTCTTGACTTACATTTCTTGAATAACAAGTGATTGTGAACATTTTTTCATATGCCTGTTGACCATTCTAATGTCGTCTTTGGAGGGGTGTCTGTTTAGTTCTTTTGATCATTTTTTGATTGAGTTATTTGTTTTTTGTAGAGTTTTATGAGTTCTTTGTATATCTTTAATGTCAATCCTATGTCAGAAGTATGGTACATGAATATTTTACCCCATTCAATAGGGTATTTTTTTTTTTTGGTTTTTTGTTGTTGTTTTTTTTCATTTTAGTTATTCATTTCTTTCGCTGTACAGAAGCTTTTTAGTTTGATGTAGCTCCAGCTATTTATGTTCTCTTTTCTCTTTCTTGCTATTGGGGACAAATCCCCTCAAAGCATCATTACAGCTTATGTCAGGAAACGTTTTGCCTATGTTTTCTTCTACATATTTTATGGTTTCAGGGCTACATATCCAAGTCTTTGATCCATTTGAGATGATTTTGTTGTATGGTGTGAGGCTGTGGTCTAGTTCTATTCTTCTGTATGCAGTTGTTCAGTTCTCCCAACACCATTTACTGAAGATAATATTCTTGTTCCAGTCATGTGTTTTTGGCCCCTTGGTCATAGATTAACTGTTCGTGTATGTGTGGGTTTGTTTCGGGGCTCTCCATTCTACTCCACTGGTCTATATGTCAGTTTTTGTTTCAGTACTAGGGTGTTTTAATTTTTGTGGCTTTACAGTATAGCTCGAAGTCTGGAAAAGTGACAACACCTCCATTCTCCTCACTCTTTTTCAAGCCTGGTTTTGCTATTTGGGGTCTTCTGTGATTCCCCATGAACTTCAGTAGCATTTGCTCCAAAGAACTGTGTTCTGGTCTAACATAAAATTGCACTCTTGATATTCAGCATGTTTCTACTATTTAATAACTAAGGTATTAGTTATTAATACCTTACTGGTATTAATGCTGGCTAGGTGTTACTACACACCACATGAATAACCAGCAATACTCCTTACTTTCATTTGGAAGAGTGAGGTCATGTTAAGACATTTGTTTTACAAGATGCATTTTACAAGGATTGAGCTCTGAAAACAGCTACAGAGCTAACAGTACAATAGTATTGACAACAAATGATTACTGTGCACTCAGTATTCTCAAGGTGCACTGCCAGGCAGAGAATACAAAGACAGTATTTCATTTACAAATAGTTTATTAGTACAGTTAAAGAGGATACCTAACCTGTCCCAGTCTATATCAGTATATTTTAGGAATGTATCAGAACTATTCTTCCCCCTTTCCCATAAGACTCCAGAATGTGCAGACCATGCCCTATACACACACACACACACACACACACCACAGGAAATACAACGCTATGAACAGCATTATGTCTGCTTCTGCAGAATCCTAAGCATATCACTAGCCAATTTATATTAGGACTCTTACATCTTCAGGGCATTTATGTGACCTTGACAGATACTACTGAATTGGTTTGTTTCCCTTGCCTAACTGCTCTGACTAGGACTTCCAATACTAAGTTGAACAGTAGTGATGATAGTGGACTTTTTTGCCTTGTTCCTGACATAAGGGGTAATGTTTTCAGTTTTTCCACCTTCGAGTATGATGCCAGCTTTGTGTTTGTTGTATATTATGTAAGAATAAGTTCTACTTACTTCCATTTTATTGAGAATTTTTATAAAAAGGTGTTAAACTTTATCTGATGCTTTTCTGGAGTCTACTGAATAATGATGTGACTTTTATTTTCCTTTCTTTTGGGCTGGTGAATGACATTCGTTGATTTGTGGATGCTAAGCCAAACCTGCATCCCTTGAATGAAATCTACTTGATGGTGGTGGATGAGCCTCTTAATAGATTACTGGATTCAGTTTGCTAACATTTTGTTGAGGATTTCTGCAGCTATGCTCATAACAAAATCCTGGTGGTTGTCTAAGTTTCTTCTTCTATAGGTCTCTATTCTAGAAGTTTGCTTTGTGATTACCATGATGATTGAATCAAACTTTCTATGTCTTTTTTTTTAAGATTTATTTATTTATGCATACAGAACTAGGGTACAGGCCCGAGGCACGGGGCAGTGAGAGGATTCACCAGATACAGAACAGGGAGCAGAACAGGTAGATCAATGAAGTGCACTGCTGAGGACAGCAGTGGGTGACACAGTAGAGGTCTGTTGCAACATGTGGATCACCTCTGGAACTGAACCTGCACTGAAGTGGCGGCCGTGGCTAGCTTGTAGTGCTGCGTCCTAACCAGTTGTGCCACCAGGGAGGGCCCAAACTTTCTAGGTCTAAAAAAAGGTCTTTGAGATGGTATCAACTCATCATTTAACTGCACAGGTTCAAACCTTTAGTGTTTCATGTTGTTTCTTATTTTTCTTTATACTTCCTAATCTGTATTCCTGTTTTCATTTGTTTTCTTGTAATACTCTCACAATTTCTTGTAAAGTAGGTCAGGTGGTCGTAAAATTAGTTTTTGTTTGTGTTTTAGCTTTATAGTTGAATAATCTTGCAGGACAGCACATTCTTAGCTGGCAGTTTTGTTTTTAAGTGTTGTGAGCACAGCACACCAGCTCTGTTCTGGGTTGGGAAGTGGCTGCTCTGAAATCTGAAAACAGCCTGATCCCTTGTAAATCACCTTTCTGGGGATCTAACAGCCTTTAATATTTTTTCTTTATCTTTGACTTTTGATAATTTAACAATGCTGTGCCTGAGACTCATTCTGCATTTAGAAATGTGGGCTTCCTGTCTGCTTCCTGCACATCACCGTTCTTTCTTTCCTTAGGTTCAAGGAGTTCTATTAACTCTTTGAGTGGGGTCTCTGTTTCCTTCTCTCTCTCTCCTCCTCATCTGGAATAACCATTTTCCTTAAGTTTCTTCTTCCAGTTGAG